GATGGGGGTGCGAGGAGCGCCACGAGCAGCACCGACAGCTACAATGCTCTTTTCGGCCGCTAGCAGCTGCTCCTCTAGGAGGGCGACTGTGAGCTCAGTGGGACAGCGAGCAAGGAAGTGGTCTCGAACTGAGCTGAGGGTGTCAGGGAGACGGGTGACTATGAAGTGGAGTGTCCAGTACAGTGGAGGGGGATTCTTAGCGCAGAACTCAGTGGGAAGGGCGGCACGCAGGCGGGCATCACTAGTGCGAAGGTGGGTGATAAGATCGGCGACTGTAGCAAAGGTGGACAGCTCAGGGAACAGGTACGGCAGCATGAGGCGGCTAAGCTCGGCTGTGGCAGGCGAGGAGTAGCGAGCAACGACAGCATCGTACAGGGCCTTAGCGGATTTGCAGTCGCCAAAATGCTCGAGCTCAGCTAGCGGTAGGTGACTGCGAATGGCTAGGCGAGCAGCTGCGTCACGAGTCTGCCAGTGGGAACGAACACTAAGCTCAGCTGTGGCAGGGGGGGCAGGTGCAGCACCAGACGCGTAATCATAGAGCGACACATGCTCCTTGCTATCGCTCAGAAGGAACAGCTGCAGGTCATCCAGCCAAGTGGCGAACTTCACAGGGCGGCCCTCAGCATCGAACGACAGCACGCGGATGGAAGCCATAGCGACAGCGCGACTGAGCAAAGGAAGCTGCCACAGCGCTGCAGGTAGGTAGCTCGGCGGGAAGCGCGGCGGGCGGGCGACGCGGCGAGCGGGCAGTGCGGGGGGCGGGCTACGAAGCGGGCAGCGCGGTGGGCAGGCGGCGCTGCAGGCGGGAAGTGCGGCGGGCGGGCTGCGAAGCGGGCAGCGGGGCGGGCGGGCGACGCGGCGAGCGGGCAGCGCGGCGGGCGGGCTGCGAAGCGGGCAGCGGGCGGGCGGGCGACGCTGCAAGCGGGCAGCGGGCGGGCGGGCGACGCTGCAAGCGGGCAGCGAGGCGGGCGGGCGACGCTGCGAGCGGGCAGCGGGCGGGCGGGCGACGCTGCAAGCGGGCAGCGGGCGGGCGGGCGACGCTGCGAGCGGGCAGCGAGCGGGCGGGCGGGCTGCGAAGCGGGCAGCGGGCGGGCGGGCGACGCTGCAAGCGGGCAGCGAGGCGGGCGGGCGACGCTGCGAGCGGGCAGCGCGGCGGGCGGGCGACGCTGCGAAGCGGGCAGCGGGCGGGCGGGCGACGCTGCAAGCGGGCAGCGGGCGGGCGGGCGACGCTGCAAGCGGGCAGCGGGCGGGCGGGCGACGCTGCGAGCAGGCGGCTCGGCGGGCGGGCTGCGAAACGGGCAGCGCAGCAGGCGGGCGACGCTGCGAGCGGGCGGCTCGGCGGGCGGGCGACGCTGCGAGGGGCGCGCGAGGGCGCTAACGAGAGGCGCACGAGGGCGCTAACGAGGGCGCGCGAGGGCGCTAACGAGGACGCACGAGGGCGCTAACGAGGGCGCACGAGGGCGCTACGAGGCTAGGGCACGGGGTAGCGTGGTAACCGCATGGGAGTGGTGGTTGGCCCTAAAAAAAAAACGGTCGGTAGGTCCTAGGGACCTCCTGCTCTGATACCATGTTAGAAGAACTAGGCAAGAATGAGTGCATTGAATGAAACAGTTGGGTACAAGTAGCAAACCCTAGTTGGGGTTGTACCCCATATTGGCTACCCCACTACAGCCTACCAACATATAACACATTACAATTTAACAAAGGTGACTTCATAGATCGCTATGGCGGAAAGCGCGGATATATTGACGAGTCAAGAGAATGAAACAACAACCTGCAAGGTAAGACGACTTTAAGAGATTGCGATGGTGGAAAGAAAAATGGTAATATGTTTAAGAAACAAAATAATCTGAATTACCATGATTGATGATCATCTTACCATTATTTGTCGCTGAAAACTCACAGTTGTGTTGACACTCGTTTTCTGCCACAGCCTGGTTCATAACGGAAAGCAATAATAGATATAAACTAGAAGCGTAAAGTCTTTAGATAAAAGAATTGGCACGAAACTGAAATGTTTGTAGTAACAGCTATATTGTTGAAAGAGTTTACGAGTTAGGGAAAATACGATAACGACTAGGGTACGGCATGATAGGACATTAGGCTGAGCTAGGAATGGCAAGGTAAGAGCGAGATTAAAACATAGAACAACAAGAAGAGACACCGAAATGCTGAAGGGAGTGGAGCAGGAAGAGGCTTAGCATGCTGATGCATTGTGGGTGGCTTCTTGGCACGAAGGCCTTTGTGTGGCAGGTGGCGCGACAGGTGGCGCAAGACCAAACCAAACCAAACCCTTAATAATTTTGTCGTTTTTTTCAATAGCATCTACCTTATGAAAGTCTGCCGAAGGTTGGCAATCGGGGTGTGGGGTGTAGATTCGCCGTTGAACCATTTTAGGATTTAAGCAAGGAAAAAATAAGCAACCTTTTGTTAAAACTACATATCACGCAGAGATACAACTTTTTGGGCACATTGGTTGGTTGCCCACCATGTTGAACAAGAGGTAAGGAGATCGATTCGCGTCAGAGCTATTACAATGTCGAGGCAGTCTTGGCTTCTTGATATTTTTCTTCTTAGTTTGCAAGTCGAGAACTACCAGTAACAGGTATCGAACCATCCCCAAACCCCCCAAGGGCTAGGCAGATTCAGGTCAGTTTTCAGTCGAGTACGGTCATGTCATTTTTGGGTGAAAAACTCAATGACCTCAAACTGTCCCGTAACTAACTTCTTACCCCAAAGTTTCTTTGGGGCGACTTTCGAGCTAGCTTTTGTCAGAGGTCCACTGGGGATCCCCGATGATCCTAGGGAAGGGTTACAGGCACGTCGGCCTGGGGGGTTATGGGCGCACTCACCCGCTATATAAACAAGCCCTTTTATCCCAGTGGTTAGTGACTGGGATTCTGACATGGTATCAGAGCGAAGGTCTCGGGTTCGATTCCCAGTGTGTGCACTTCGGGCATCCCAGTGCGGGGGGGTGTCAGAGGTCCACTGGGGATCCCCGATGATCCTAGGGAAGGGTTACAGGCACGTCGGCCTGGGGGGTTATGGGCGCACTCACCCGCTATATAAACAAGCCCTTTTATCCCAGTGGTTAGTGACTGGGATTCTGACAGCTTTAGGCCAGACTAAGGTCAAGGTCGGGTTTGGGTCAGTCAAATTTTGGTGATGGAGCCACAATCGCTCAGGCAGGCACTCTGTATGCCACTAGCAGTTTTGAATGGTGGTAGCGTCGATGGACGGTGACGGTGTTTTGGGCACCTGGTTTTGAGCGCCGGAGTTCAGCGGCAGTCGTTCCCTCGCGCCACTCCTTGAACAAATCCTCCACCATGAGTTGGCAAAACCTCATCTTCAAGCAGGCTATGATGTCTTGATCGAGGGGCTACAAAAAGGTCGCCGTGTTGGCCGGAAGGCACGCGATATGGACATTGGACATCTTGAACGTTTTCATCCCCAAAAGCAATTCCTTTCGCCCATAGTAGGGTCAATGCTATGGGGCGACGCATTGTCAATGAGAATTACAGTTTGGCGATCCTGAGTGAAGCACGTCGCGTTTACGTTCTCCATGAACGTCCCAATGTTAACTCCTATGGCCTATGCGGAAGCGTCTAAAACTCAACTACAAGCTAGAAACTTAGCGACAGTTAACTTCCCTCGAGACCCTCCGAGTGTGACAGATTGTCACCTCCTAGCCAAATGCCTAGAAAAAAATATAAGGGAGTGGTTATGCTAGGCTTGCTTGTAGAGTGAGAAGATTGGTCGAGCAGAGTTTCAGCAGTAATGCATTGTGTTTCAACTCTCGTCAATACGTAGTAGTAGAATTTAAAAGAGAATGCATAACAACATTCTTGCAAAATAATTAAGTACAAACATGCATTTTATACTAACTTCTAAGCACACAGAAGGAATGTAGACAGATTGTTATTTCACTGTCGCCCAGGTCTTTGCCTTGTTGTCCTTGAGAAACGGTCATAAACCTGCTCTTGAAAACTGCTCTTGAAATAACCGTCTTCAAGCTGCGCTCTTGCCAAATTCTCCTGCTGACTCCCGTCGTGAAAATTCACGACTTTCCGTGTGCAATCATGAACACTCGTGTGGGAATACCGTTTTTTCGTAAGGCCTTACAGTTTCTCACCATTTGTCATTAGTCTATACACTTTTTAAAACGGTTTTTCACCGTTTCTTCTTGTATTGACAATGTCCCATTACGCGTGAACATTTCTCGCGAAGTTACCTGTATGTCGAGTCAACACCGAGCACCCGTTGACCACGACCGATACATGTCTTCTTGCATATAGTCCCACTGGAAAACACTCGCGGCGTGGGACTATAAGCAAAAACCTCAAAATTACAGGGAAATGGTGATTTATAAGTCCATTGTACGGGAACCACCGTCTACACACATGATTACTAGCACAGCAAACACATGGCAAACACATGGCAACCATGAAACACATGGTAACCATTTGCATTGTAACAAACAATTTTTTATACCAAGTGACCGTTTTGTGACATTTTCCAAAATGTCCTTGCATAACGAAGTGACAACAACACAAATTCAACCACCAGATGAAATCCGCATTGCATGCAGTCACGCCACCGTCACACGAACATTTCAAACATCCTGCACACAACTCACTCGACCCCCCTCCAACACACGCACAAAGCAATTCGCACTTTGACTCACACACACACGAACATCAAATTCCAGCAAACATCACAATCCAATCTGAAGCACAAATAACCTTCACGCATCATGCTCATATATCACATACGCACTCGTCACTCCACACGATGACCACCATGGCACTCGTCGCTCCACATCCGCCCTCTTACTGATGGACAAAACAAACTTCATATGCCGACCACTGGAGAGAACCCCCCTTAGATTACTATTCGCCGTGTCTTCTGGAACTTCTCCAACCTCCAGAAGTCCAGAGTCCTGTAGGGGGGTTGTTCAGGTTAAGGAAGGCACGACCCGCGCGGTCAAGGCATTCGATAATTTACGTGTTGTTAATCCCAAAGATGGCAGCAAGGTCGCCCGGCATGATGTATTCCGCCCACGCATACCCCACCAGGATTTCCGTCGCGCGGCGGGCAACACGGCGAAACTCGCGGAGAACGGCGCGGTCATTTACCATGATGGGCTCCGACAGCAGCGACGGACGGGCACTGCGAGTCCTTGGTGGCTCGTCTGCCAGTGGATCCGGTGCCTCAAACTCGCAAGTCGGCACATTGTCCTCGACGTAACTGAATTCCGTCGCGGACATCCCTGCCGGCCCGAGCTTCATAGCTGCCAGCTGCCTACCAAGAAACTGGAGTTTCTCGGTAGTGTCGCCAGGGTCGGATGTCCAAGTGCTCCCGAGGGGCATGAGTACCCTCCACGACCGTGGGAGGATGCCGGCGTAGAACCAGCAGCGCTGGATCGTGTCGCCCTCGACCGCGTCCAATGCTTCGAACAGGTATACGACTGTCGCTGATGTAGTCGGCTTCAAGGACTGCATGGATGCGGGGCTCCCACTGTCGTCCCACAGACGGAGCCAGTCCACGATGACCTTCTGACGGAATCGCGCCTTCACCGCGCTGATCACGCCTTGGTCCAGGGGCTGCGTGAAGGCGGTGGTGTTAGGAGGGAGGTACACCACCCTGATGTTGCTCAGCTTGACCGTGCGGAAGCCCAAGATGTTCTCGCGCACCGCGGTCTCCGTTTCCATGCGGTGACTGCTCGCATCATCCACGAGGAGCACGACCTGCATCGCCTCGGCAAAGAACGAGGCGTTCAAAGGCTCGATGAACGCCGTACAAATCTGAAAAAGAGGGAAACACGAATCTGGATAACAATTAGACTCTATTGCAGTATGTATGTGTAAAACGGATCCGTTCATAAACATAAAAAGGACTCGACGTGGTATAGTTTAAGATTTAGCAACACCCATCTCGCTTGTCATCCAGCCGCGCTTGTTGTATCGTCAGTACATATACGCTTCTGGGTCGAAGCTTTTTTCAGTGAAGTCACGTGGCCGGCGAATTTTGGAGTTGACCATGGGGCGGAACGTCTCAAAACCGTCCACGTTACAGATGAACGCGACGGTTAGGCGGTCCTTAGCAGTTTTCACCCCTGCCGTCGCATCAATTGCCCACGTCTTCCTTGGCTGGCAGGCCGGGAATAAGGCGGTCTCGTCCAGATTCATGAGGACCTTGGGAGACACTCCCAGATGGATGATTAACTCGGGCAGCCAGAGCTGTGCCCGCGTCACAGCATCCATGTCGGCCGCGACAGCCTTGCCGGCACGAGTGAGATTACAGAAGCCCATTCGGTGCATCACGCGATGCACCCAGGTGAGCAAGCATAGGAATCGTCAGTCGATGTTCAATTCGCGGCGGAGCGACCTTGCCTTTTCCTGAATCAGCCACAATGTTAAAGGGACTCCTGCCGCACAAGCACGGCAAACCCAATTGTCGAGCTGACGCTCAAGTTGGGGGAACAGGGGCTGCCGCAAGCGAAATATGCGACCGTGGACCTTGGTTGCAGCACGCCACCTTATTTGAATCGTTGCGATCAGGGCGGATTCCAAACCTGGTGAAGCACCACCAAGCAAGGTCATCGTGACGCAGGTGGGGATTGAGCGCAAATTGCTGACAGATTTCTCGCTTGGTGACAATGGGAATTCGCTCGCGCTTAGCGAGGCGGACCATGTTGCTTAGGCGGCGGGTGTCGTTCGGAACGGCGACATGACTCACACGTTGGGCCAATGCCTTTGAAGTCTCGTCAACCCCCCACCACAAGGTTCAGGAGGGGTAAGAGAACTCCTGACGTGGCAACAGGGGTTGATTCGAGGTTGGATGACATGGGTCAGTACCTCGCAATGGTTTTGCCATCCTGATATTTCAAGAAACTTCATCTTTCACTGGTCATGAACACGTCGCAAACCTCATTTGACCCTCAAATTCGATTGGTTTAGAGACTGGTTTGCGTAATCGTGTCAGAATCTTTGCCACCATGCTACCCACAATGGGACTATACATGAGGGGCCAACATTAAGAGATATCGGAAATTTCTACATTAGGAAGAAAAGGGACTCTCTTAGCGAAGGCCTCTAAACCGGAACACCTGTATTTCGGTCGTGCGATACTGTACACTGACACGCGTAGTACCGTACTGTACTGCGCGTAAGTAGGGCGATCATTCGCCCTGTCCTGTTGCGATCGTGGGCCCTGCCACGAGCACACGCGTGGGCCTGAGGGACTACGCGCAAAATCTGGCACCCCACGCGAGGTCCGAATTCCGCACGAGGTTGACCTTGACCTCGCGAAAAATCCGAGGGGTCAACATTGACCCCTCATAAACGCTCACGACTCCCCATGAGTCTCGCTTCGTGGGGACTCGTGAAATATTCACGAACCCTCAGAACGCTCACTCGCCATGAACACTAAATGAACGCTCGTGGATTTTCACGATGTTACATCGTGAACTTTCATGAGTGATTATGAGCTCACGATGAACGCAAATAACATGAAGTATGAAAATGGATATGCGTGATTCTCTGGCGTGATGCAAAGTGATATGTAGGCGGCTGGTTGACGTGCAAAAAAAAATATGCACCCAACATTGAAAATCTGCAGAATATGTACTGAATACAAATGTAATATAAAAACATTTGAACAAACGGGATAAATGAAGAACAAGACGGACAACGTGACACATTTCAATGCGCTAGAGCATTGAGACATTTTGTCTTGTGCTTACCTCCGTGGTCATCCACCCCTTCCGATTCCAATGCTACTAACATGTTCGTCGACGTTGAACCCTCGCACAAAATCCCGCGGCTTTTAGACTTTTGCTATCACCAACGGCCTCCACATGTCGGATCCATCTGCGTTGCAAAGAAGAGCAACTATCAGCCGATCCTTGCATCCCTTGCTTCCAGCAAGCGTCTCACGCGCGTAGGTTCGTCATGGATTTTGGTCAGGATACACTGCAGTTTCGTTTAAGTTGTAGGTGTATTCGTGTGTAATACCAAGACTCTTAAGCAACCCTGGGAGCTTATCACGGCATTCTTTAACGACTTCCATGTCTGCTGCTCCAGCTTCCCCTTTGCGCATGAGGCACTTCAATCCCATCCCCTGCATTGCGTGAACCACCCAACCAATAGAGACTTTGAAGGAAGATGGGATGTCAATCATGTCCTTTGCGAGCTGCTTCACTCGGAGCTGAATAATGGCCAGCGCTAATGGTAAGCTAGCAACACCAGCTTGATTTATCCAACAGCAGAGATGCAGCTCTTACCTTCGGTACTGTCGCCGTCTTACGCGGCACCAGTTGTCATTACCATCCGAGCGTTCTTGAAGCCACTCAGCCTTGTCCTGCAAAATTCGGAATATGGCGGAACGTGAGGGAACTAATTTGAATTTCGTGGCAGCCCACTGAGCAAGGTCTTCATGCGTCAGGGTTTTATTAGCCTCGTGTTGCTTACAAACCGCACACTTCATGTAGCGTGTTAATGAAGTGCGAGCCATCGTTGAACGCAATGCATGGCATCCAATGCATTAGGGGAGAGTCCCATCAATTTCATAAAAGTTCTGATGTTTGGATGAGGTTAACTACCAAGTCGAGTATTGCACGCACATTGAGTTTAAGGATTTCTTCGATTTCAATGTTGCGTGCAACAAATTTTTTATGACGTGCAGGGGGTTAGTCTGGATATTCGCGTGTGGCAGGGGCGGAGGTCAAAGGTTGAATAGTTCACCCCGAAATTTGTCGGCCAATATGTTAGATGTTATAGTCTTAGTGATGTGTGCCCCAACCAACCTTAGTCAAACCATCATTCAGTTCTTGACATGGTATCACCTAGGTTAGGATCCTATGGGATCCCGTTCCTCTCGTTCACGTCCGTCGCGCCCGAGCCTGTCCCGTACCCTAGTGCCCATTACGCCCGTACTGTCTCCTAGCGCCTATCGCGCTCGTCTCTCTCGTGACCTAGCGCCTATCGCTCTCGTCTCTCTCGTGACCTAGCGCCCGCTGCGCCTGCCGTCACGTCGCCCCTGCTGTCCCATCCCGTCCCGTCCCCCCTGCTGTCATGTCGCGTCGCCCCCTGCTGTCCTGTCGCGTCGCCCCTGTTCCGGCAGTCCCGTCGTGTCGCGCTGTCCCGCCGCATCGCGCCGTCCATCCAGTCCCGTCCCGTACCGCCCGAGTCGCGCTTCCCGTCCCGTCCCGTCGCACGCACCCCGTGCGCTTTCCTGCCCGTCCGTCGTGCCCCGTGCGCCCTGCCCGTCCGTCGCGCCCCTTGCGCCCTGCCCATCCATCGCGCCCCCGCTGCGCCCTGCCCGTCCGTCGCGCCCTGTGCGCCCTGCCCGTCCGTCGCGCCCCGTGCGCCCTGCCCGTCCGTCGCACCCCTGCTGCGCCCTGCCTGTCCGTTGCACCCCGTGCGCCCTGCCCGTCCGTCGCGCCCCCGCTGCGCCCTGCCCGTCGCACGTGCCCCGTGCGCCCTGCCCGTCGGTCGCGCCCCCGCTGTGCCCTGCCTGTCCGTCGCACCCCATGCGCCCTGCCCGTCCGTCGCGCCCCTGCTGCACCCTGCCGTCGCACGCGTCCCGTGCGCCCTGCCTGTCTGTAGCGCCCCCACTGCGCCCTGCCCGTCGCACGTGCCGCGTGCACCCTGCCCGTCCGTCGTGTCCCCGCTGCGCCCTGCCCGTCCATCGCGCCCCGTGCGCCCTGCCCGTCCGCGCCTGTCTCGCCCGTCCCTGCAATTTGCATCCTGTTCCGTCGTATCGCACTGTCTGTCACGCCCTACGCAGGCCCTTTAGGCGTTCAGGGTTTCGAAAACAGCGTTCCCACCTCTTCGCTTCCGCTATGGCGACCCCTAGGGTCCTGCGCTTTGACGCCGAGGGTAGGCCGCTTGAGTTCTCCATCTGGCCCCTGCGTGCGCGCCGCCTTTTAGGGAGTCAGGTTCAGGCAGATGCGTCTCTGTGGGCGCACGCTTCTGGCGACCTTCCTAAGCCCGACGATTCTGCACCCTTAGGCACTGACTCTAGCCTTTCAGACAAAGACCGTTGTGCCCGCCAACGTGCCGACCTCACAGCGTGGAAGTCACGTGACGCTGCGACCTGCATCGCCCTCAGCTGCCTACTCCTCCCTGAGTCTGAGGAGACCCACTTCACTCAGGTTCGCACGGCTAGTGAGTTCCTGACTGCGATCAAGGCCCGCTACGCTACTCCCACCACTGTTTCTCTTGGTCGCCTGTTCCTTCCGTTCCTGTTTCCTGACCTCGCCTCGTTTGAGCGCTCTGTTGACTTAATCGCTCACCTGCGCTCGCTTGATTCTAGCTACCGCGCTGCCTGCACTGACGAAAAGCTTGCACTGCTCCCTCCCCCTATGGCGATTACTATCTATTTCATAGACACTAGCCTCCCTGACCGCCTTGCCTCGGTTCGTGACGCGCTTCTTCTGAAGCACCCTAGCGAGCTCACTATCGAGGTCCTTGAGTCTGCCCAAAAAAACGTCAAGAGCAACCTCCGCTCGGTAGCCTCCCCCTCTGATGCTGTGCCCCCTCCACTGTTTCACGGGTGCACTGTCCCTCAGCTGCCCACCTTTACTGCCTCCCTCGCCACTGCTGCTACTGACGTGACCGCAGCTGCAGTTACGACTTCCTCGCAGTCCAGGGGTAGGAGTGGCAGGAGGGGCGGTCAGGGTGCGGACGGAGTCAGCGGAGGTGGCGTGGCGAGCGGCAGTGGTGGGAGTAAAAGGTTGGAGGAGCGCCTCGTGCAGCGGCTGGTGACTCCCCTGCTGTAGGTGGTGGAGGTGACGCCCGGGTTCGTCAGGCACCTGCTGGTCCGCCAGCTGCAGGTGCTGGAGTGGCGACTTGGAACCTGACTCAGCGACAGCAGCAGCAGCAGCCATTCCACTTGCAGCAGCCACAGCAGCAGCAGAGGCACCTGCAGGCTCCGGGGCAGGGGTCAGGACCGTGTCAGCTGTCGCTTGGTGCCGTCCACCCTCCTTGCACCTATCTCGTTCAGATAGGTGCTCGCCAAGGCCTCCCATGTGGCCGCACCCACCCACCGGGTCAGTGCTTTGCTTGGCCCCACTGACACATTTCGTGCGGCCTACGGCGTTGACGGCCCTGCCCCTGACTGGCTTCCCCTTGTTCAGACGTACGGCCCCGCTCTGTGGGGCATGTCGGCTTCTCAGTTGCTTGATCTCTTAGGAACTCCTCATGCTATGTATGATGTTGTTGACTCCAGTGTTTCTGACTTTGTTTACTCGAGTGTTGTTAGTGTTGCTGAGGTGCCTGTTGCTAGTGTAGATACTTGTGTAGACATTATTCCAGGA